ACATGTCACCGGTTACAACAAAGGTGAGAAGGGACTTGTACTGAACCACCCGGACTGCAGCACACACACACACACACACACACACACAGATACACACTTCACATGTCACCGGTTACAGCACAGGTGAGAAGGAACTGAACTGTACTACTGGACTGCAGCACACACCCATATACACACATACACACTTCACATGTCACCGGTTACAGCAAGAGTGAGAAGGGACTGCACTGAACCACCCGGACTGCAGCACACACACACATACACACATACACACTTCACATGTCACCGGTTACAACAAAGGTGAGAAGGGACTGCACTGAACCACCGGGCTGCAGTACACACACACGTACACACATACACACCAGTTACAGCCAAATGACAAGGTTTGAGTACTCTATACTAGGGAGAAACATAGCAGCACATCACGGAACACCTCGCCACACACACATATACCAATTACAGCTAAATGACAAGGTTTGAGTACTCTATACTAGGGAGAAACATAGCGGCACATCACGGAACACCTCGCCACACACACATACACCGATTACAACCAAATGACAAGATTTGAGTACTCTACACTAGGGGGAAACATAGCGGCACAACATGGGATGCTCCGATTCACACCCAAGCACGAGTGAAGAGCAAATGACAAGTTTTGAGACTCACTACACCAGGGGGAACATAGCGGCACATCTCGGAACATCTCGCCACACACACACACACTAATTACAACCAAAAGACAAGATTAGAAGCAATCTACCTAGAGGAGAGTTTACCGAAGTATCCCGGAGTGAATCTCAACACACACAAGCATCAAGATCAGCCAAAACACAAGGTTGAACGCATCTATGCTAGAGGAAAGTTCACCGAAGTATCCCGGAAAGAATCGCAACACACACAAGCATCAAGGACAACCAAAAGATAAGATTGAGAGCATCTACACAAGAGGAAAGTTCACCGAAGTATCCCGGAATGAATCACAACACACACAAGCATCAAATTCAGCCAAAAGACAAGATTGAGAGCATCTACACAAGAGGAAAGTTCACCAAAGTATCCCTGAATGAATCGCAACACACACAAGCATCAAATTCAGCCAAAAGACAAGATTGAGAGCATCTACACAAGAGTAAAGTTCACCGAAGTATCCCGGAGTGAATCGCAACACACACACATCAAGATCAGCCAAAATACAAGTTTGAGAGCATCTACACAGGAGGAAAGTTCACCGAAGTATCCCGGAATGAATCACAACACACACAAGCATCAAGATCAACCAAAACACAAGTTTGAGAGCATCTACACAAGAGGAAAGTTCACCGAAGTATCCCGGGATGAATCGCAATACACACAAGCATCAAGGACAGCCAAAAGATAAGATTGAGAGCATCTACACAAGAGGAAACTTCACCGAAGTATCCCTGAATGAATCGCAACACATACAAGCATCAAGGACAACCAAAAGATGAGTTTGGAAGCAATCTATCATGAGGAAAGTTCACCGAAGTATCACGGAATGAATCGCAACACACACAAGCATCAAATTCAGCCAAAAGACAAAATTGAGAGCATCTACACAAGAGGAAAGTTCACCGAAGTATCCCGGAGTGAATCGCAACACACACACACACATCAAGATCAGCCAAAACACAAGTTTGAGAGCATCTACACAAGAGGAAAGTTCACCGAAGTATCCCGGAATGAATCGCAACACACACAAGCATCAAGGAGAGCGAAAAGATGAGTTTGGAAGCAATCTATCATGAGTAAAGTTCACCGAAGTATCCCGGAATGAATCACAACACATACAAGCATCAAATTCAGCCAAAAGACAAGATTGAGAGGATCTACACAAGAGGAAAGTTCACCGAAGTATCCCGGAGTGAATCGCAACACACACACACATCAAGTTCAGCCAAAACACAAGTTTGAGAGCATCTACACAAGAGGAAAGTTCAAGTATCCCGAAATGAATCGCAACACACACAAGCATCAAGGACAGCCAAAAGATGAGTTTGGAAGCAATCTATCATGAGGAAAGTTCACCGAAGTATCCCGGAATGAATCGCGACACACACAGGCATCAAAATCAGCCAAACACAAGTTTTGAGAGGTGGTCTAAGCTAGAGGAAGGAGAAGGGCATGGAGAAGGAGGCGGAGAGGAAAGAGAGAGAGGGAGAAGAAGAAGAAGAAGGGGAGGAAGAAGAAGAAGAAGAAGAAGAAGAAGAAGAAAACTTCCTCCTCTTTCACTCACCTCTTGCTGGTCTCCAAGCAATGAGGTCCCTGGCTTGGTTCTAGCTCCTTGAGTATGGCTTTCCTCCCTCCCAAGTTCTCTCCTCCTCTTCTCACACCTCTTCTCAAGCTATGGCAGGCTCCTATCTCTAAGGCTATGGAGTCCTTCCCTCTAGGAGGGCTAAGGGGACCCCTTCTAGCCTCTCCTTCTATCTCACAACCTGAGGGCTATGGCGGACCACTCTCCTCACTTCCTCCTAGCCTCTAGGCCTTCTTCCTTAACCCTATCACCACAGCCAGGCTTCAGGCTAGCTCCGACTCTCATCTCCTTGCTCTACTCCACTAGGATTCTCTCATGGACTCATTTTGGCAGCATGGGCTCCTCTCATGCTCAAATGAGAGTGGCGGCCTGCGCCTCCAGCTTATGTAGGCTGAAACTGGTGCACCGCCCAGCCTCTAGGCCTTCTCAAGTGCCTCTAGGTGGACCGAGGTACCCCCAAGGCCAAATTTCAGGTTTTGGCCTCCCTGGAGGTACCTGGGCCTCATCTTGGCCAGGTACATGCAGTCCGAGATGCAAGTACCACGTCGACCTACCCCTTGGCTTACCCCGGCCTCCTTTCTTATCAAAAGGAGCTGCGTTTTTGGGGTACCCATACTCAAAATGCAGCCTTTGATGAAAATTGAGGGGCCTAAAGGCCCTTTTCTTGTCTTTTTCCATATCTAGGCCTCTTTTGGGTAGGCCGTTGCATTTTCCCAAATGGCGGCACGATCCCAGCCTTGGATTTGGCTGAGATCCATGACCCTCATTATTCCAAGCTACTCCCAAGCTCCCCTTGGCTCAAATTTGAGCCTTTAACTTCAATTTTCAATTTTTTGGTGTATCTGGTCCAAGCCTTGGGCCAAATACTAAGTTTTGTCATTTTCCTCTCTTTGTTTTTCCCTCCATTTTGATGCCACCTCATTCCGGAGCTAGCCATTTTGTGTCAGCCCACAAAAAACGGCTAGATCTCCTCCACCATGAGATTAAATCTCAGATCTATGACCCAAAAGAAAACCGGCCAACTCACATCAGCATTTTTCTTATTTTTGTTTCTTTAATTCAGATATTGCATCTCTGCAATCCGGACTGCCCTCCTAGGATCTAGGAGGGTCCTAGGATCTAGGAGGGATGAGGTCATCATTGAGACCTGCCAGTCCCTACTGCTGCAGTCCCAACCTGGCAGCACATTTTCCTCCACCCATTCCTCCTCCCTTGTCTCATTCTCTCCCTTTTTTTCCTCTTTTATCTTTTATGTCTGTTGGGACAAGTGTCCAACAACTATTTCTCCTCTTTCTAGCCGTTGGACCCTGTCCAAGCTTTGACTTTGCAGCCGGCATGTGGCCGTTACACCTCGGACTACAGTAGCGGCACCCCCATGGTCCTAGGGGGCTCCGTTTAGCTGCCGCCGCTTCCAGTTTGAGGCCCCCTTGCTCCGATTTTCTCCGGCCAGCCATTTCCTTATGTGGGGGCCCTCGGGACTTTGTTTTTCTTTGACCTGGCTGGTCCGGAATAACCTGGACTGTTGGCCGGGGCCCCCTCACTACTGCAACTCCCTCTTCCCTTTCCCCTTGACACNCCCCCCCCCCCCCCGGCGCTTGTCGCAGCGGTACTTAGTATTTTTGTTTGGGGCCCCCGGCCCGGACGGCGCCGCCCATCAGATATTATTTTACTTCTTATTGTTATTATACTTGGTCCAGGTTCCCCTTGGGTCCTCCCAGGTACCCTCCGTCTTTCCCGTGTCACGCCTGCCGCTTCCATTCCGTCGACAACTTCCTGTCGACGCCGGACTTCTCCCCATCCTCTTATTACCTTAGTCTATACTGTTTTTCCGGCGTCATCCCTGGTGACGACCTGTTTTTCGTCGGGACATCATGCGTCCCCGTCGTTCAGTTGCCAGTTATTCCGCCGACGGCTCCCGACGCTTGGTCCCGTTGGTGGCTCCCAACACTTTGTCCCACCGGCACCTGTCCCGCTGGCGGTTCCGCTGGTACCGCAATTTTGCCTAGCCCCCCACGGTCCCCGTCACTAGTCCCATGTCGGCACCATACTTCTGCCTGGTCCCACGTGGTCCCTGACACTTTGTCCCGCCGGCACCGCGTCTCCTCCTTGGTCTCACGCAGTTCTCGCCACTTTGTCCCGCCGGCCCCACACCGTCCCTCAGTCCCATGTGGTCCCCGACACATTGTCCTGTTGGTACCGCATCGTCCCTCGGTCCCGTGTGGTCCCCGGCACCTTGTCCCGCTGGCACCACACCTTCTTTTGATGTTCCTGACGTCTTTCCGCCTCACTGCGGTCTCCTTCCCTTGTTCCCTTCGCGTCCACACACCGTTCTTCCCCGGACGCGGGTCCTAGCTTAACTTGCGGCCCCCTCGGCCCTCTTGCCGCTGCGTCCTAGTGGCTCATCTAGTCTGGCCACCTTTTTCCCCGCGTGGGCGCCTTACGTCCTGCTTGTTTTCTCTTTTTGCCGCGCCCGTCCTATGCTACTATTATCTTCCTGGCGGTCCTTCTCCGTTTTCGGGGGAAGGATCGCCTTCGCTATTTTCTTGCGGTCCTTTGCTGCTCCCTGTTTCGACAATTCCTTCTTGGTTCGAGGGTCTCGACGACTTCGGGCGGCCTCTAGCTCCTTAGTGCCGTCGCTCACGCCTTCGATTCCTCCAGCATTCCTGCCTCCGGTTTTCTCTGTCGTGCACAAATTGGTCATATACAGTCTCTCGAGTGACTGGAAGCTATTCGGGACTCACCAGTCCCAACAGCGGTACGGGCATTTTGAGTGGGTTGTCATGCCATTTGGACTCACCAATGCCCCCGCGACTTTCCAAGCAGCTATGACGACTGAGTTTCGCAACTTGCTCGATCGCAGCGTCCTCATCTACCTCGATGACATCTTGGTTTATAGGAGGACGTTGGACGAGCACATCGTATACCTTCGCGTTGTTTTGGGTCATTTGCGACTGGCCAAGTACAAAGCGAATCTCGGCAAGTGCGAGTTCGCCAAGCAGGAGCATGAGTACCTGGGTCACTATGTTACGCCGAAAGGCATTCGTCCCTTAGCGGACAAAATCCAAGCCATCGTGGATTGGCCGGAACCCCGTTGCACGACGGATGTACGCTCTTTCATGGGTTTGGCTGGATATTATCAGCGATTCGTCGAGTCATACTCGAAAGTGGCCACTCCTTTGTCGAGACTTCAGTCCCCGAAGGTGCCCTTCGAGTTCGACGACGCAGCCCGTGGCGCGTTCACTACGTTGAAGGTAGCGATGCAAGCCGCACCTGCCCTCCGTATATACGACCCCACCCTTCCCACCCAAGTGACTACAGACACTTCGGGATACGGTATTGGTGCGGTGTTGGAACAGTGTCACGAGGACGGTTGGCATCCGGTCGAGTATTTCTCCCAAAAGGTGCCTCTAGTCAACACTCTCGATGACGCTAGGAAGAAAGAGCTACTCGCGTTCGTTACCGTTCTCAAACGGTGGCGCCACTTTCTTCTCGATCGTCGGCATTTTAAATGGAATACGGACAACACTATCGGATTTCCGACGGGTTCCTTCTCCTTCACACGAGAGGAAAGGGCTTGTTAGTTGTGCCCCAATATTGCATCTTACGGATTCGTCTTCTTGACGAATTCCACGACGCACGACTTTCGGCACACCTTGGCGTAAACCGCACGTTAGCACGCCTCCGCCAGCGCTTTCACTGGCCCGACGTCCTTCATGACGTCACGAGGTACATTGAGTCATGTGTAGTTTGCCACCGTAACAAGGGTCGATCTCGAGTCCCCTTCGGTGAACTGAAACCGTTGTCGATTCCTCGGGCACCGCGCCTCTCCATTGCTATGGACGTGACAGGCCCGTTCCCCCGCGATCGCCTCGGCCATGACGGTATTCTCACAGTTGTTGACCGTTTGAGTAAGTATGCTCGCTTCCTCCCTTGCAAGTATCATGCTGCAGCACCTGAGCTCGCTCGACTCTTGCACACCGGTTGGATTACCAACCAGGGTGTTCCGGAAGACATAGTGAGCGACCGAGATACTCGCTTCATGTCGGCCTTTTGGACTTCCCTTATGGCCGAGTCCAATACGACAATGAAGCCGAGCTCAGTTCGGCACCCGCAGACGGATGGCCAGACGGAGCGAGCACACCAGACCGCTCAGATTATGTTGCGTACGCTCATCCGTCCCGACCAGAAAGATTGGGTTGACCGGCTTCCCGACATTGAGTTCGCCTACAACACTTCGGTGCACCCAGCGAACTGCGTCACACCATTCGAGCTTCATCATGGTGGAGAGAAAGCACGGATCTTCGCTGATCTCCTTCTGCCACAGGCCGCCGACATAGACGTCCCTTGCTCTCCCGCTTCCGTTCGAAAGTACCGGGACTTGCTGATCAAAGCCCGCGCGAATATGCAAAAGGCTCAGGTCCGCATGCAGCAGCAAGCTAACCGACGTCGACTTCCATGTCCTTTCCGCGAGGGAGACCTTGTTTGGGTCCTCTCCGAGGAATTTGCGCTTGAGCAGGACGTTTCGCGCAAACTCCTTCCGAAATGGTTCGGACCATGGGAAGTCACTTCTGCCGTTGGAGACGACCCCGCAGGTCCTTCCTTTGTGGTCAACATTCCTCCGCACCTTCCAGTGCACCGAGTCTTCCACGCGTTGAAGTTGGCCATCTACACGCCACCTTCCGCCAACGAGTTTCCCAGCCGTCGATCACAGGATCCGCCTTCTATGGACGGGCATCAGGAAGTGGACCGAGTCATCACGCACCGCAAGTATGGCAACAAGCCAATGCAGTTCAAAGTCACATTCAAGCAATATGCGCCTGACGACACTCGGTGGATCTCTAGTGCAGACTTGCAGACTTCTGCACCCCTTATCTTCGCCGACTATGAGAAGCGACGCCTTGCCAAGGAAGCAGCTCGTCCCGCCCGACCCGCCCCGGTATCGGACAGACAATTCCGCCCTCGCAGGTAGCTCGGTCTCTTAAGAGGGGGAGCGTGTTACATCTTCGACGCCACACGGGCCCTACCGGACCCGACTTAGGGCTAGAGGGACACAGCAGGCCCTTAAGGCCGGGACTTGGGGTACAGCAGACAGTAAAGGCCACATTTTGGACCAGACCGACGGGCAGACCCAAACGACATTCTCGTTTTGGGCCTGGCAGTGCTTTTGAGCCTGCCGCCCGCCGATCTGATCTGAACCGTCGATCTCGACGGTTCAGGTCATGGCCAGGCCTCGCAGCATTGAGGCCGGCCTCTTGGCCACCGGTACTTATACCGGTACCAGCCTCATTGTGAGGCATCGAGCCACCCGCATGCTGCATCATGCCAGTGCGTATCGGTTGAGGAGCAGCGCTATTCTTAGCGCAGGAGCAGCAGCAGCAGTGCCGAGGAGAGCAGCCAGACAGCGGACAGCCATAGCCGACTTCGGCTGTAGGCAGTTGCGACGGACCAGGTATCCGGGGGCAAGGTCTCCTCCTCCCTCCACGGTCCCTGGCTCCCCTCTTCCTCACCTCCTCCTCCTCTATCTCATCTCTTCTTCTTCTTCTTCTTCTTCTTCTTCTTCTTCTTCTTCTCCTCCTCCTCCTTCTTCAGACTTCATCTTCTTCTTCTTCAGACTGGATACTTGATACTAGTTGGACAGAGATCAGTGTTGGACTTCGGTGGTAAGAGGCTGTGGTACTTACCGGGTTCGAGACTTGGAGATTGTTGGGGATGATACTCGGCTGCATCACAGATTGGACACCGGTTACGTTAGGACTTTGTATCTCCAACATCGGTGACTTATTGTCTGCGACATTTGATCTTGTTCGATGACATTTTGGATTACCATATCGGTGACCTACTGGTTTCTATCTCGGTGACATTTGGTGCTACCTACATCTCCCACCTCCTTCGTCTCTCCTCCCACCTCTCATCTGTGTATGTTTGTACGGGGCCTGAGCATCATCTGTGCTTGGCTCAGACCCCAACATCTCACGATTGTTTGTGTGTGGAGTGATATCTGTGTAAGTCAGTCTATGTGAGTCAGTCCATTATCAGACTTCCGCTGCATACATGCTCATCCTATATTGGTTGATCTTTGGTTCTGCCCCATACTCGTTGAAGTATTCACGAGTATGCAACACACACACACACACACACACACACACACACACACACACACACACACACACACACACACACACACACAAAAGCACATATAAGGGGAGAAAAAAGAAGTACAGAAAAAATCGCTCCTCGTGGCGCTGCCACGCGGCGCGATTTTGGGCCTTCCACACTCCACCTTAGCCCTTCCCCTTTTCCTCGTCCCCCCATCTTCCCCCCATCTTTCCCCCATCCATGACATGTACCGCTATCCCTCCCACTCTTCCCCTTTGTCACTGTACCATCCTTACCCCTTGACTGTCCCTTCCCTCCCATGATGTTGTGCCATGCGCCCCTTCCTCTTCCTCCAACTCCACCCGCGCTATCGCTCTGCGCCTCTTCAAATTCTTTCCTCCCCTCGTCCTACTATGGCTTCTGCTGCCCTTCTCCCCTCCTTTCCCCAATTCTCACGTGGCCCTCTTCATTCTCCGTATTCCACCAATCCATTTGTGTGTGCCTCTCTCTCTCTCTCTCTCTCTCTCTCTCTCTCTCTCTCTCTCTCTCTCTCTCTNCACACACACACACACACACACACACACACACACACACACACACACACACACACTAGAAATGACACGCAGACGCACACTCTCTTCCACCATGTCTCTTCCTCCATCTCGCCTCCCCCATCGATCTTCCACCATCTCTCCTCCCCCATCTCTTCTCCCCCATCTCTCCTCCTCCATCTCTCCTCCACCATCTCTCCTCCTCCATCTCTCCTCCACCATCTTTCTTCCTCCATCTCCCCTCCACCATCTCTGTTGCATGCTGCGCCTGCACACGTTCCCCATTTGAGGGGCCCGACGGTTGCTGAGGGGCCCCCAGGCTGCGTACCATACAGCATGCGCCCTGGAGGCCCACGGCGGCCCTTCAGGCCCGAGGTAGCACACTAGTTAGATAGGGGTAGTCTTACTTACCTTTTTGTATGTGTGTGCTGTCTCACTTTGTCTGTCCAGGTGCCGTTTCGGACTTGCAGCCCCAAGGCCGGACCTTGGGACTGGGTACAGCGGAGGCAGGCCGGAAACGAGGCCAAGCGCATTTTGGCACCAGACCGGTAAGTGCAGGCGTCGTTTCGGTCCTGCAGGTCCCAAGGCGACGCCTTGGGCTAGGTGCACAGGTACCAGGCCGTTTTTAGGCCAGGCGCATTTCTGCGCCTTGCTGCATCAGCAGCATGGTCTGGACGTCCGGTAGGGACCCAGACCAGCTGGACCTTTTCTGAGGCCAGCAGCAGGTAGGCCCAGCCTGCCCAGCGCTACAAATAGCTGGGCAGCGGCTGGGCAAGGGACAGTTTGAGTAGCTCACTTCTGGATCGACACGCTGCTCGTTGGAAGCAGCGTTATTCTGCGCCAAGCTACGAAGTAGGGAGTAGCGGAGTAGGTAGTGGAGAGAGGTGGAGGCCTTACCTGCAAGCGATGAACTTACCTGGCGCCATAGCTGGGCTCCGCGCGGTACCTGCATACGATGATGACCACAGTCAGTACGGTGACAGCTACCTGCAGGTGAGATAGCAAGGAGGACGTCATCCTCTTCTTCCTCCTCCTCTCTCTCCCTCCTTTCTCCTTCTCCCTCCTCTTTCTTACCTTCTTCTTCATCTACGAGAGTGAGAGAGGATATCGATAGGGAATACAGGCAGAGGTTATGTTGGGCACATTGCCCAGGATCTGATTCAACATTTCTGGGACAGACATTGATTGGACACTCGGCAAGGGACTATTTTTGGGACTTCGCTAATGCGATCTTGGTCTACTCCCTCGCCTCCTGCTCCTTCGTCTCGTCCCTCCCCCCCATCTCTCATCCGTGGTATCTCCCCATGTATGTGTGTGAAGGAGGGACCTTTTCCGGTCCCTCCTCCCCTCTCACATGTGTGATGTATGATGGATGCCGGGTCAGTCCAGATCAGATCAGATCTTCTCTTTTAAGTCTTCCACTGCGCCCCTTTGTGCCATCTTGTATGTATCGGAATGCGTCGACGACGTCTCCCTTGTTGACCACAGCAACAGTGACTTCCCCCTTCCCGCACGCAAAAGTCAATTGACCGATGCGTCGACGCATCGGTCAAGACGGCCGCCCATGATCTGACCTGAGTCACAGACTGGGGTCGTGACCAGTCACGTATGCTAGCCACCTTTGCATCTTCGGGCCTAATCCCATTCGCGGATACTTCATGACCCAAGTACAAGATTCGAGGTCGTCCAAACTCGCATTTCTCTGCGTTTATCTTATACTTGTGTTGTCGAAGGAGGGAAAGTACCTTATCTACATGTTGAGCATGCTCCTCAACAGTCTTAATAAAGATAAGTATGTCATCGAGCTACACGACGACGAACTTATCTAAGTAGTCATGGAAGATCCTATTCATGGCGTGCTGGAATGTACCTGATGCATTGCAAAGGCCAAAGGGCATCATCACACAAACTCGTACAGACCGTACCTGGTCTGGAATGCGGTTTACTGATGGTCCTGTGGTATTATGGCAATTTGATGGTAGCCGGATTTTAAGTCTATCTTTGTATGGTACTTACATCCGTGCACCCTATCCAATAGGTTGTCGATGCATGGTAGAGGCTCTGCGTTCTTAACGGTGATGGCATTGAGGCCTCTATAATGAATACACATCCTCAGTGTTCCCCCTTTCTTTGGAACAAATAATACTGGTGAGCCAAAAGGGGACGCACTAGGCCATATCCAACCCTTCTCTTTGAGCTCTTTCAGTTGTCGCCGAAGCTCGTCCAACTCGGCCAGAGCCATCTTATAGACTCTCCCTTTAGGTGTCTTACTACCTGGGATGATCTTTATGGCATGGACAACCTCCCTGTCTACGACTCCTGTAGGCTCCTCAAACAGATCAGGGTACTTAGCGACAATGTTCTCTATCTCTAGGGGTGTTTTAACGGCCTCCCCCTTCTCCGAGACATAGACGAGGTACATACCTTCCTCTTGGTTCTGTTTGTAATAGTTATAGAACGCTGGTGCGCATAAGCACCCATAGGAGTCAATTAACCTACTGGCTTTGTATTTAGCCAGTTTAACGGTCCTCCCATTAGGCAACTCCTACTTCAGCACCTTCTTGTTCCAGTCAAACTGGGGCTTGGTAGTACATTCCTAACAATATATCAAATGTCAAATCATCGCGCACTAGGAATGATGTTCTATGGTTTAGCTCTCCTCCTGGGTAGGAGAAGGTGCAGACCACGTCCTTTACGTAGTCCTCCACCATCATGCGCTCTCTATTGGCCAAAGTAGATGCTACCGGTCTACTAAGGCGCTGCACCCAGTCCTTCTAGCGCAACCTCTCAATGCAATGGAGTTTCGTGTGGAGCATTGTCTACGAAGGCACCACACTTGCGGCCACCCACACCAACTTCCACAACTAAATGCTCCCCTCTAGGACATCTACTTAGTGCCACTGTTACATGCTGCGTCTGCAACAGGCTGCACGGGCCATTTCCAGGCCCGTGACGTTTTCAGGCCAAAAGCCTGAAAACAAGGGCCGACAAGCCCTGTGTCGTTTCATCCTGAAAGCCTGAAAACAAGGGCCTACAGGCCCTGTGTCGTTTCAGGCTAAATCAGGGCCTTTCCGGCCCCAAGTGTTTTCAGCCTGAAACTGAGGGCCATTTTCGGGCCCTCGTCAGTTCGACCTGCCCTGAAACTTGGGCAACAAACCAGGGTTTTAGCACAGGCCATTTCGGGCCTGTTTTCAAGACAACCCCTGGTTGAGCTTCAACGCTAGGGTCTTCGACATTGGCAAGAGCAGCCTCCTGGACGGGCCAGCACTATATAGGACTGGCCCGCCCTGCAAGCAGGCTAGGTAGTTCCTAGGTACTTCCAGGCACTTCACGTGCAATTCAGGAGGCAGGTGCCAGGAGGTAGTCTTCAGGATACGGCAGCAGCACTATGGAGGAGCGCTGCAGTAGTAGTGGCAGCGTTAGCAGTAGTCTTCAGCGTTGGGCGCCATAGGAGCTAGAGTAGTACCAGAGAGAGAGATTGGGCGGAGGCCAGGGAGACTTACCTGCAGCGCCATTGCTCCAGCTTCGTCTTCGAGGTACCTGCAGCACAGCGCCACCTTCACAGGTTAGTACCTGGCACATGAGAGAGAGAGTTCTTCTTCTTCCTCTTCTCAGTCCGCCATCTCCTTCTCACCCTCTCGCTATCTGACTTCACTGCATCAGCAGACTACGAGGGAGAGAGAGAGAGCTTGGTGACATTTGGATCCAGACTCGACGTTGGACTTCAGATATTTTGAAGAGGGATTATTTGGGACTTGTAACGAGACGTGGTGTTGACGACTTTCCCATCTCCCCCTTCCTCTTCTTCATTTGATCCCCTCCTCTTTATCTGTGTATGTCTGGACCTAGCACCTCCTTCCTATGTATAGCGCCAGGCCCCTTCACACCTTGTGATGAGCATGATGTATGTTTGGTCTACGTTGCAACATTGATTGGGCTAGTCATTGGTATTCTAGCATTCTGCTGCGTTGTCTTGCACTACGTGGTAGAGGTCAGTCCCGGTCAGGTCGAGACTTGTATCTAAAGTCTTCCCAGCGCTATAAAGCACCATTTTGTATGTATCAGACTGCACATTGCTTGTTGAGATTCCACTTGCACTGCATTATCCATTCGGTCCTTTTTATCACATTGCGGATCCTCGGTTATTATGAACATCGCCCAACTGGGCATGTAACAACCACCCAGGACTCACGAGGGTCCCTTGCCGACCACTCACCTTGAAGGTCCTCTAAGGCTTCAGACACATCCAACATACAGAGTATAGTTGGGTCCGGATGCGTCTGCGGGGTGGCTAAGGAACAACTTCGGCCAACTCTTGAAACGGGGAGGGTACATCACCCACTTCAATGAGAGTAGAAGCAGCTACAACTTCTACTGGCCCTATGTGTTTCCCGAGCTGGAGCTCGTAGAGGCCCCAGACTGAGAAGAAGGATACCCACCCTTAGGCAGGATCTTTTGCGCAACCTTAGCGTTATTGCATTTAAACTGCTGATGGCCATACTCGCCGCAGTTTATGCAAGCTCCACACTGCCATCGGTCTCGCCACACATCTTGATCCAAGCCTGCTCTAACCCAAGCAGTTATTTTGTTTGGGTTAGCGGCCTGCCTCTGACTCCTTTGTTGACTGCCCTTGCCTCGGCCACTTGCCTTGGTCTTGACTACAACGGCGAGGTTGCTACCCTCAGCACTATCCTCGCCGTCTAACTCTGCACTCTCCACAAGTTCAGAAACATCATCGATTTCAGTTTGATTTCCTTCAGAATCAACCATCATCAGCCGACTACCCTTCTTCTTCCATTCTTGTGAAGCCTTCTTCTTCCTCCCGTCCGTAGGGGGGGTTTGAGCACCACCCAGCGTAGCCTCTAAGTCTAGGGCCTTCTTGCTGAATGTCTCAAAAGTGTGATACTCGAGTCGAGCTTCGCTGGCTAACAAGTTCTTGATGTCTGTGGGAAGACACCTCAAGAACATGGTCAACAAGACCTGTGGATTGTACTCCACGCCTGGGACGACAATCAAACACTCTACAGTCGTGGTAAGTTCGCGCACCGACTCGTACTTCCTACCATCAAGTTTCAGTAACCCATCAGTGGCTATCTGCGCCTGCTTAGGGTTATGCCACCACGCCTCTACCAAGTCCATACAACTCTCCAGGGTTTTGCTCTTGGCCCAATCACCCATGTTCCTGCCGAAACCCTTGGAAGCCACCAATCCATTAAGCCAACGAGCTGTTGAACCCTCTAAGTAGGATGCAACATTCATCACCTCCTCCTCTACCAGCGTCCTCTTCGCCCTGACCCACACTGGAACCGTTCTCAACCAAGCGTCAAGCGCCTCATCCTTCTTATCTCTTGAGAAGGTTGGAGGTGGTTTCAGTGGGGTCTTGGGGTTCCATGGTTGTTGTTGTCCCACTGGTGAGACAGGTGGCGGTTGTGGCGTAGCTCCAACCGTTGGACCAGAAGATGAAGAAGCAACAATCTGAGACATGGCTGCTGTTGACGTACCGCTTGGTGTTGGTCCGGACTGAGTGGCATAGGGGCCTGTCATCGCTGAGAATGGCAGCGACGACAAAGCTGCTTGCCTGATTCCTCGCCTATGTAGGGCTTGGAGAATCTGGTCCAGGGTGTCCTGCATGGCGTCCATTTTGCTGTCCATATACTCATGCATCGACAGGATGCTCGCCTTAAGAATCTTTCCAGTAGAGTTAAGGGTCGAGTCATCCAAACCCTCTAGTGCAGCTATGTATGCTTCCCTACCCTCTAGTCTGACACTCCTTTCTCTAATCTCTTTTAGTAGCCTTTTTAAGTTCCTCCTCTAGCCTTAAGCGAATCCTTTCTACCTGCTGGAGCTCCATATGCTCCCGGGTGCGTGGAGGCGGCGAGCTGGACTGCACGTTCACTATCTAACTGGAGCCAACTCCTGACGTACTGGAGACGACTTGCAAACTGGTCGAATTGGGCGGCATGCCCATACACAGGCCAGTTGAGTTCGCAGCAGAAGTGGCTGAGGAGGTAACCCTTGCTACCGCGCTAGCTGCTGCTGCTGCCAACGCCTGTTCTACCGCAGCTGCTGCCTCTCTCGCAGTCTCTAGATTACGGGCCCTTGCTTCAGCCCTTAGCCTTCTCTCATCCCCTGGTAGTAGAAATTGGAACACTACAAGTTCATCGTCTGCCTCCTATCCTCATCCTTTTTGTGTCCCGTCGTGTCTGCCTCCTATCCTCATCCTTCTTGTGTCCCGTCGTGTCTGCCTCCTATCGTCAGCTGTTCCTTCACCACCCCCTGATCCGCTCATCAGTTAGGCAGACGCTGTCTGCACTAGTGTCCTCCTTGGGACCTACGGCAACATGTGTCTGACCGGTTCTAACAATAAATAAAAATAAATTAATGTTTGGCGAGTTACTTAGACTATCGAACGGCATCAACAACATTCTACACTCACTGTACACATAGTCTACTCCTATCCTGATTAGTTCTCTTACAAAAGCTTTGAGAAGAACTGACTATGGTAGATTACAGTCCTACTCTAAGCTATCTGTTAGGTGTCAGCAGTCTGTCAACCAACTAATCTAAAATAAAAATAAACTAATGTGAGCAAATGTATGCACAATGGGCATGATCGTGTTTTACAATAGAGTCCACAATTGGAATCACCTTCCCCTGTTTCCAATGTGCCTATGAGCATCATCAAGTAGCGGTGTCTAAGGTGTGCATTAATGGCCCACCCCTGTGCCCAAGACCTATGCTTATGCCCAGCCTGCCCTTTGTTTACCCTTGCATGCAACGAGCCTTACGTCTGACTGATCTGGCTGATCAAGAGGCAATTTAAGGACAGCCCCCAAGAGTCCTCAGGAATTATTTAACATCGCAAGCAGGACGACGATCACAGCCAGTGGACAGTTCAGACCCCAACCAGAAATATTTATAGACGGTCTGGGAGCGTCTGCTTAGGACTGGTCAGTCCGCACACCCCTTCTATCAGTGCAGCAAAGAGCCTCAAAGGACAAAGCAGCATTGTCTACGTGTACTACTCCCATGGGTTGGCATGGTGACCGTGACCCGTGCTTTGACTAGGGCCCTTCAGAGGCACCGCCCTCTCCTGCCAGATGCGCCATCGGGAAGAATGTCGTGTCTCAAGATAGAGCGCACACGACTCCTCACCAAAGAGAGGACACTCAAGGTTGGACCCACTTCCTCATGGTAAGAAGAGATTGAGAGGGTAGATAAGGAATGGGAACAACGTACCTGGAGATAGCTGCCCCCAACCACAGATTTTTCACCAATTGGGCCGACGTGCATTTCGGTGACCGGTCAATAGCCTCGGTACCACCCACAACGCAACGCAGTGCCACCTCAGCCAAAATGCCATGTCAGCATGCTCTCATCATCATACATACGCCCGCTGTCGCCACGGCCTTCCAGTGGCCTCACTGCACATGAAGCATCGTCAGCGCACCAAGTAACAACGTCGCTAGAGACAGGTAAGCGGCGATCACTAACCAGCTCCGATGCCAAATTGCAAGGAATACGAGTGTGAATGATATACAGAAAACCAAATTGCGAAATCACACAGATGTCCAAGTAGTCATGTACAAGCAGAGAGCACAATTGCACCGAGAATCCATCCAAATAGAGCAATACAATCAAGTAATGAGCCAATGTTCAAGCCCTCAGGCCACACCAACACAATATCCAAAGTCACTCAATCTCTGTCTGGCGCCCAGCGCCTAGCCTACTCTACCCGACTATCCTACCTACAACTGTGTTCACGCAACAGGATCACTTCGACTCTCAAAGACCAATGTACATGACGTCAACACCATAGCCGACCTCTCTTCATGCACCAGGTACGTATCTCGTCACCCTCATCAGACCTTGGTAACCCACACTCGCCTCCTTCCCTGAAGACCACCAAATCGCCCTCTTACCCCCTGGCGCCCAGCAGCCCGGCTATGGCTGCCTGCGCCCCGCTGCCCTGCAGCGCCCCACTTCACCTCTACGCGCCCCGCCAGTGCCCTGACCATAGCGCAGCATCCTATGCAGCAGCACAGCAGCGTGACCGCATTGCCTGCGCAGGCTAGAATGCCTGGCCTGGGCTGCCTCACTTCCTATGGAAGTGGCAGCCTCCTGGATGCTGCATGTGGCCTGGCTGGAAGCTTCCAGTAGCTTCCGGTTGGGCCTCAGTCCCTGTGCCCAGGCCCGAGACTACAGTTGAGGGCCTGGGCCCTTTACAGTTGGGCACGGCCTGAGTCTCCGGACTTGGGCCGTTTGCTGCATTAGTGCAGGGCCCCGGGGTAGGTGCGTCGACAGTACTGCTTTTGCATAGGCCGGTGGCCGCTTCACGATGTATCGGCCCTGCTTTGTGTGTATGTGCCCAGGCGCAACTGCCAAGGCCTGGGCCAACTGTACGACGCAGCTTAGTGAGGCTCACGCGTCCACTCAACCAACTAGCGTGCTGCAAGAGCCTGAATACCCACATATGAAAATGTCGAATTTTGGCCTCTGATGAATATTCAGGCCCGCCTTCACTTAGGGCGGGCACTCGGCTTGCTGGGGGCCTTTGCCCAGAACATGTGATGTCTGATAGGGCCCCGTGAGGGC